CATTAAATTTGCTTGCAGTAGCAGAGGAAATATGAACATATCTCATACAAAAATTGCCCTTTGCTGTTTGCAGCGAGCTCTCAGCTYGCCCACGTGGGCTGCTGCCCGTGTMTGGTGACATCCCATRGTTATCAGGGCAGAGTCCTGGGGGTGCAAGTTCGCCAACAAGGGCTAAATCTGCTGTGTGTTCTGTGCATACCTGGCTTATTTACAAGCTTTTTGCATTTTCCTTGCTTTTACTTCATTCRTATTGTTTCCATTAACCTCCTTCATGAATTATGAATACAGTTTCAGTATGGCTGATGCAAAACAAGAGTACCTTCTTATAAGAAATTAAAAGCGAGCACCTTCTTATAAGAAGTTAAAAGCACATTATACACCTAATGCAGTCTGTTTAGTGAAGGCTGCGAGGCGCCTGTCCTTCCGTGGTTCTCAGGATGACTGGAAAAAGGAATTGGCCACAAACCCTTGGTGGCATCACCCCCGCTTTGGACACCCTGGTGGTCCAATGGGTGGTCCCTGCTCYGCTCTAATTAGGCCCAAGGTGAGAGGTGGAATCAGAGCCTGGGCACGGCGGGAGCAAAGGGCCAGACCCGGGCTCAGCTCCGTGCTGAGCGGGGCGGCCGTCCCGTTGCGAGGAGAGCTCTGCCTCATCCCCACGGGCTCCCCTTGTCTTCCTCACCACRGCACATCCCGCTCGCAGGAGCTGGCCTTTCCCACGGCGGCTTCCCAAGGCTGAGAGCACAGGGAAACGCTGGGAAAGGCCGTGCCGGAATGCRGGGATGCTGTCGGACAGGAGAGGGCACTGCTGCTCCAGCACCCGAGCACCGCGCTGGGCCTGGCTAGGCCAGGACTTGCACACGCGAGCCCAGGTCGGGCTCATGTTGTTAACTGCGCTTAGTCCTTCACCTTGATCCCCTTCCACACCAAGCGCTGGGGAAGGCGGCCTGTCTTGGGAGCAGSGACATCCTCCCACCCAGCCCCACAGCTCACACGCACGGCCTTTCGTTAAGCTTGTCCTAGAGGGACAGCAGYGACTGTGTGAATCCAATCAAACCTTCCCGGTCCTGTCAGAGGGGCCAGGAAGGGAGAAGAAAACCTTATATGTGGCAGCAGGGACACTTATCCCAAAGCCCCTTTAAAACTTGCTTATCCCCACAGGAAGGTTCATGGWAGACAAACACAGCACCAGCCTTGCTGGGACACGGGGAAATGCATTTAAGAACATAAAGTAATACTAACGTAAAATAGCCTGTTTGCATTATTCACCTGATTCTATTATTTATTATAAAGGTTGTTCTTTAGTATCAGCTAAAACCTCCCAAGGGCTCCTGCCCTTTGGAACCTTTCTGGAATGGCTGCMGTTGAGCAGGAGCTGCACCCAGATCACGGGCTGAGCTGCCAGCAGTCCCAGATGTCCCCAAGTCACCGGCTCCCTCAAGCAGGCAAACCCTTAAAAGGGAAAAACAAGGAGTGTGCCACGTGTGGCAGAGCAATTCCCATGGGAAGAGGAAGCACTAGCCAGGAACCCGGAGCAAGGTGACTTGCAGAGGTGTGCGCCTCTCCGCTGGGACTCCGAATCCTCTGAATAAACACCAGTGCTCCTCGCTGCTCTGCCTGTGCCCTTGGCTCCGAAAGGCCCCGCGCCGGGCCCTGCACACAAATCCCTGGCAGCTGTGCGGATCTGGGGCTCAATATCGTGGGAATTGTGGGTGTACTGCGGAGCCTGAGGGGGTTTCACAGGTCCCACTTGTTGTCTGGGGGTCACTCTGGACACGATGGGACAGTTGCTGGGGGCAGTGTTGAACCCTATAAGGAACGAAGGAAAAGGGAGGAAGGGAAAGGAAAAGAAGGAAAGAAGACAGAGAGGAAAAGAGATGAGCAGGAAAAGGAAGGAGACAGGCAGAAAGATGGGGAAATGAAGGCCAAAGGGAAAGGAAGCAAAAGGAAAGCAGAGGAGAGGAAGAGAAAGCAAATGAGAATGACAGGATGGGAGCTGTGTCCATGGTCAAGACCATGTTGAGGATTTCCTGCTTCACTTGCTGTTTGGGGGGGGTCCCAGACCCCCCCCAAAGGAGAGCTTTAGGGGAGATTCTGATTGGTTGGGCTTCTGGCCTAAGGAAGACAGGGCATATGAAAGGCCTTGCTGGGCTTGGCCTATGGAGAGCATGGTGGTGGGGGTGGCTGTGGTGGTTGCAGCTACATGTCCTCTCTGGGAGGGCTCTAGGAAATGGAGTCTGTGGCATCTGCAGCCTGAAAGCTTGGAGACTACCTGCACCAAAGGAATAGAAAAGAAATGGGAAAGGGGAAAGGAAAGGAAAGGAAAGGAAAGGAAAGGAAAGGAAAGGAAAGGAAAGGAAAGGAAAGGAAAGGAAAGGAAAGGAAAGGAAAGGAAAGGAAANAAGGAAAGGAAAGGAAAGGAAAGGAAAGGAAAGGAAAGGAAAGGAAAGGAAAGGAAAGGAAAGGAAAGGAAAGGAAAGGAAAGGAAAGGAAAGGAGACAGTAAAAGTGGGTCACTGTTTAGGAAAGTAAAAGAGAAGGAAAGAAAGGGGATAGAAAAAGTGGGAAAAAAATAGAAAGGGAAGGAAGGAGGCGGGAAAGGGGATTGCAGGCAAGCAGCCATGAGTGCTCTCATACAGTCCCCAAGGCTGAGAAACATCTCCAGCTGCATGGGGGGAATTCTCCACTCTCTCATCAGTCCTGGAGGATTTTGGCACTGAGAAACGTTCATGAGCCTGCTGGCTTGGGGGCCACACGAAGGCCAGTAGGACCTGTCCACCCTCCAGTCCGCTGCGCACAGGGGTCCTGGGGAGGGGGCTGTACAAAGACCTATAGGTCGCCCCCATGAGCCTGGGCACACCAGAGGCCCTGGGGACCTGCATGGAGGCCTTTAGGGCTCCCCCAGTGCCATACACTGAGGCGGCCCTTGGCCATTGGGCCCCCTAAGAATCTTCCTCACGGATGCCTGAGCGGTCTGGAAGGCGACCAATAGGGCTGCCCCCCGCCCCAGGACCTGTGCACATGGAGGCCTTGGGGACTGCACAAATGCCCACAGTGCCCCTGGCCATGTTCTCATGGAGGCTCCAGGAAGCTGCGCGAAGGCCCATACAGCTCCGTAGGGCCATAGCTCAAAAAGACCCTGGGAGGCTGCACAAGAGGACAGCCCTGTGGGGCTGCACAAAGGCTCATAGACCCACCCGGGCCTCGTGGGCAAAGAGGTCCCGGCGGGGGTGGGGGGGCACAKGAAAGGGACTGTGGTCCCGTGTTCATGGAGGCTGCACAGAGGCCTGTAGGGCACCCCTGGACCTGTACAACCAGAGGCCCTGGGCAGGGTGGGGGCTCACAAAGGCTCATAGGGCCCCTCTGTCCCTGTTGCATCAGGAGTCTCCAGGAGGCCACCTGAAGGCCCATAGGGCCCTTGGCGGCTGTGCACACATAGTTGCCTCAGGAGGCCACACGAGGACCCATAGGGTCCCCCCCCCCTGCCGGCCTCATGTGCTTGGAGGCCCCAGGGGGCTGCACGTAGGCAGGTGGTGCCCCCCAGGACCATAGCGCAGGAAAGCCATTAGTGCCACTCCTGTCCACTGTGCTCAGAGGCCCTGGAGGCTGCACGAACACCTGTAGGGACCCACAGCCTTGCACACACAGAGTCTCCAGGGGGCAGCACGGAGGCCTGTAAGGCCTCCTGGGCACCGAGGCTGCAGGGGACACACGAAGCCCTGTAGGGTTCCCCCATCCCTGTGYGCGCAGGGGTCCGGCGGGGTGGCAACACAGTCCGGTAGGGCCCCCCGACACTCTGCACGGATGCCCTGAGCAAGGCCCAGAGCAAGGCAATAGGGCTCCCGTGGCCCCGCACACAGAGGCCCTGGGGGGATAGAGGATACAGCCCCCCCAGCCCTGTCTGCACAAAGACCTGTAGGACCCCATCTTCCCGTGCACACAGAAGCCCCAGGGGCTGCACGAAGGCCGGTGGGGCTCCCGTGGYCTTGTGTGCACAGAGACCCTGGGGGGTGCAAGGAGGATGGCGGAGTCCCCAGTGCCCTCGTGCATGGACACCCCAGGGCGCTGCACGAAGACCCATGGGGGCCCTGGCCCTGTCCTCATGAAGGCCCCAGGAGGGCACACGAAGACCTCTGAGACCCCTGTCCCTGTGCGCATGGAGGGCCSGAGAGGGGCCGCACAAAGGCAAGTTCAAGGCTGCACGTTCCCAGCCCATACAGCCATAACAATCACGGGATTTACAGCATGCTTTTACCYGATTTTTAACCAAAGGAACTCCAGATATTTTAAAATGGAAAATATTAAAGGGATCTAAAATACAGGAAAATATCATGACCRGCCTCTAAATCATTAGATAAAATGCGCCCTGTAGAGAGGGACAGGTGCAGGATTGCACCCGACCTGTCCCCAGGCTCCGTGGACAGTTCCGATGGAGCGGAGTTCCCTCCCTCGGSGCAGGAATGTTGGATTTAGGCAGCAGAAAGCGTCGGGTGCTGCAYGGAGGGACAAGAGGACCCCCATTCCCTCACCCTGCAGGCTCAGGCCTTGGGGCACATTGGCATGGGGCACATCTTGAGCACAAGGCTGTTCCTAAGGGCCTTTGGGACATCAGCCATCACCCTCACCCCCGCTTCCTCACCTCCCTATCTGCACTTTGCTTACCTTTTACATTCTGTTAACAGTTACAAGCACTAGATACACAAAACAGTTTTTATTTTAAATACAACCTATTAAAAAYAAACAGTAACTTTCAACGTCATCAAAAGCAAAAACATTTTCATGGTTATAGCTTCTCCTTTCCCAGCTATAAAAAGTTTAACATAACAAGTTATTTTGGCACATTCCATAGATAAGTCTACGTATGCAAAAACCACAGACTTTGCATTTGGGAAAATTTAAGACATAGAAGGTGCAGTACAAAGCCCTGGCAGATTGCTCAATTAGATGGAGTAGCCACAAGACATTACATGTCTTATTCTCATTCCATAAAAGGAATTAACAGAGATGCAACAGACTGTGCCCATAAAACAAAAAGCAAATAATTTTGTGGGTTTATTTCCCCTGTCAATATTCTTTCTGCGCTGTGGAGCTATCACTTCAGATTTTCCATGCATCGCTTTGTAAAGAACAGGGGAGCTAAGGGAATAAAGGAAGTTTGGAGATGTCTTCACGCCGTGGACGGGAGGTAGTGCTGTCCAGAACAGCCTGACACAGCTGCAGAGCGAGCCTGGAGTCTTCGCCTGCAAGGACCAGCTCAGAAACGCTGCGTGCTTCGGTTTGTCTTTCTGTCCTGCTCTGGCAATGAGCTGTGGGACAGCACCAGCCTTTCACCTCCGTTATTCACTTGCCAGTTAGTAGCTGTTAATGTCAGTTCTTTGTGCTTCAGGGAAATACCAGATCAGAAACTTCTTCAAAAGGCACACAGCAGCTCCCTTGCAAACTGACCCACAAAGAGCAGCAGKTTAGGGCAATTAAACAACAACATGTGCTCTGAAAGGGTGTATTTGTGATCCAAGGAAGTCCTGAGTTTCAAACTGAGCGATGAAAGCCCTTACAAAAATTAACTTGGACTAAACCCACATAGAAGGCACGTTTAGCAAAAACAATAAATGCAATGTTTATTTATTTATGCTTATTTTACAAATGAATACAGTGYCAGAATCATTGCCTGTTGAAATGGCTAACCGCCTTTTCCAGGCAAGTATTATTCTGTGTATTAAGACAGTCTTTGATCTGGCTCACTGTTATATGACATGGTAAAATACTTCAGCCTCCAGTCCTTAATTTCTGTGATCAACCTTAAATTAGTATATCCAAGTTAAGTTTCAGAAAGCAGAACTTATCTTTCATTGAGAAAAACCAGAGTACAAGTCCAAATAATCATCAGAGAAATTCTAACATACTACCTTCTTAACGAAGAAATACCAATTAGCAAACAGAWCAACAAGTAAAAGCATTATTTCTCATAGTCATGTTTTCCAAGTGAAATTCTAGCCTTAAGAAAAGGCTGAGGTTTCCTTATAATTTAACAATTTACTTGTGCACATGTAAAATGARCCTTTCAACACTATCAGAATTTCCCTTGAGCTGGAGGAAGATGGGAAATTTTCGGACTTAGAAATCAGTAGTAAAAAAGAAAAAAAAAATGAAAATATAATCTATAAAAAACTCCCATATGAACATTTTTACTACACAGGAAATATACACTCAGAACTGGCACGGAAATTTAGATACTGGATGGAAACAACTGGCATGATAACCTGAGTTGACTATTTGGTAAAGCAGCCTTCAGGAAGGAATAAACCTCAGGGCCTGGTTCTCTTTCACTGAGAAASTTTTAAAGTAAGTTTTAGTGCTCAGAAAAGGTGCTCAAATGATAACCCTGGGACCAAATTGCTTCTTGTGCAACAAGGTGGGTGCCTGTCCCAGTGGTGAGTGACACCCTGCCAGTTAAAGGCAGCACCACTGAGCCTGAGACCTCAGCCTCTCCATGGAGGTTGTCCTCTTGGTCTGTGCTAGGAGCAGCAAACCAGTGTGACTGAYATTAACTGCACCAGAGTCATCAATTTCTTTTGCACAAAGCAGAGAGGGACAGTATCAGGCAGCTACAACTGCTGCTGCACTAAGTGGTCCATAAAAATTGCATATCCTTTTTATAGACCCAAGTCAACACCCCTTAAGCAAATTCTTATTCAAACATCTAGCAATACACTTTTTTTTTTTTTTTGATTGATTGATTGATTTCAGTGACAGGAGGCAGAGAAATAACCAGAAGTCTCCATGAGGTTTCAGAAAAGGCTTACAAGAGGTGCTAATAAACTCAGCAATCATCTTCATCAATCCTACAAACGCTTGTAAGAACCAACTAAAGCTTTGCAGTTTGGACAGTAGTGATCCACATCCCGGAGGGCATCCATACAGAAGGGAATTAAGCAGCAGCCAGCTATACACCTGCAAAAGAAAAAGATACTCGTTTACAACTTCTTAAAAAACACAAGAAGGTAAAATGTWTTTCCTACGGAAGCCATCTGCAAAAGCTAAGCCATGAGGCTTCAGGGAGAACACACATGGCTTGGGGACCTTCCCTTGACTGTTTCAGAACTGCATCCAGATCCTGCAAGYCGAGCAGATGTGGGCTACTCAAACCATGAAGTCCCAGGCAGAAAGAGAACACAGCAGAGCTGTGAAACCATCAGTTCCTGATTCCCACTGCATCTAGAAGAAGTACTGGGAGAATAAGAAGTGCAAATGTGAATGTACTTACCCCAGCAGGCAGAGGCCCCCACACGAGAGCCAAGCCAGCGCTCCCGAGGTGTACGTCAGATGTGTCACTATCATGTTGTTACAGGACGGGCAGCACATCTGAACTGGGCGGTCATAAAATACTACTGGTTGCTGCACGTACACGGTCTGAACTGTAACTGAGCAAAGAAACGCAGTGGTTAACAAGGTGCAGCTAAGGAAGAGGGCAGAGTTAACCAGAACCACCTGTCCCTCTGAAATAYGTGATGCTCAGGGCAATGAAATAAACAATGCCCAGGAACAAACAATGACCACGCGATTTCCCAGTGCAGGGAATACTCTTTAAAAATAAGCCTACATTAAAAACTGCRGATGGCCAAGGGCTGTTATCGCTAAGAGCTGTTGCTGATACTAGTGTACACCGAGAGCATGAGACTTGATTCACCTTGTTGCCATCAGAGCTATTTCTGGGCGACTGGGCAGTGCCTGTGAGCCCTGGTCTCTGTCTGGATTGCTGCTCAGCAGCCCTTCCAGCTGCCCGAGGCCTCTCTCACTGTGGGGTGTTTCAGCTTACCAGGGCTGGGTGCTGGCCCGGGCTCTACGAAGTACGGAGGAGGGTTCGTTCCCTTGGCATTCAGCCTTGGTCCAGGTCCGGGGGCAGGATAGGGGTGAGGGTAGTTAACGTTGATGCCTACTGTCTCCTCGTAAGAAGGTGGTGCCGACGGGGCAGGGAAGCCGCCGGGAGCAGACATTGTATCTGAAAAACCCTGGAGAGAAAATATTTATTGCAGCAAAGCGGCAAATAAAATAGGCTGCATTCAGACAGAAAGCGCAAAGGCAACTGGATTAAGATAACACACAAAAGTATAGTGGGGTTTTTTTGCTTCTAAATATTCATCTTGATTTTTATGTTATTGCTTCTTACTGACCTCATCACAGGACAAAATAGAAACCAAAGAAACAAAAACAACCAACTTCCTCTCTCTCGTCCCAACACCTGTTTTCCCACAGCTGCTCCTTCCTGAAAGTGCAGGAGCAGTGGGGCTGGGTATAGCAGACTGTTGCTACAGTAGCTCCTATAGGAAGCTATCGAGCTGTCTTTGTTCAGACTCCCCAACTCCCTCAAAAAGCAAAAGACACCAGGGGCTGCACAGTGGTTGACAAGCCACAGAACTTGACAGGAGGTGGTGGAGGGGTGAAGTTCAAATATTTAGAGTATTCATTTCTGCTGTGATCTGAAATGCAGAAATAGTCACACTGAAGGAAAAAGAAACCTCAAATGAGTAAGCAGGCCAATTCAAAGCTTTTATAACCCTCAAATATGTCTTATGAGCCTCAAATATTTCTAAGTATTGCCATTTCAATGAGTTGCAAAGCAAGTTTCATGCAGCAGTTGCTGAGTTATTTCATTACAGAAAATAGGAACAACAAGCATTGCTCTTGCCCAAAGAGGAAAGACTGTGATTTCAGTGCAGCCTCCCTCTCTCCTGGACATCCTCCTGTCCCATCCCAGGGCTTTGCTCACCTCTGTCATGACACCAAGGCTAATTTAGCATCTCCCTTTTCCTCTTTCTCCCAGTGACTATCAAAGAGCTCTATTAGAGCCACACTCTCTTCTCTTTCCTTTCACCTTTAATTCCCCTGCTTACATTTCAGTCTTTCCACTCAACACTACCTGGGACAGAGAACACGTATTTGGAGCATTGATGCTACATGCTTACAGTAATGCAGAAGCTATAATTAACTAGCATGAATAAAAGGAACAAGAGAAATAGCATGGAGGAGTGAAAAAAATGTTAGTAAATGAAAATATACATACACCAATACAACACTGCTCACAAAACTCCAAGATTTGTTTTTTGCTGTCAGCAAAATTTAGTATCACCAGTTCTAACAATAACATCAAGACTCATCCCATAGACTCACGGTATGAATMTATTTTGGGTACAGATCTGCATATAAAAGAGCAAGAACTTGCAATTTTTCCATTGCACGTTCTCAGAGAAGACCTTCTCAGAGAAATGTCTTGGTATATGAGAGCAGCAGCCCTAATCTCAAACTGTTCTGAACCTCTGAATTAACACGTGGAATCCTACTATTAAGTGAACTATGGAAGAACTGCCTCAGCTCTTTCCATCTATCCCACAATAAACACGTATCTTCACCAAGAAGAACATTAATTGATTATCTAGGACTGCAGAGAAGGCTGCAGATCTACTGGATCAGAAGCTCAACAGCAGCTGTCAGTGCCAGAAAAATGGCAAGCACCAGTGACACAGGGAGTCAGAGGGAAACAGCACCTCTAAGACTGCAGTTGTTCTCCCTGCATCTAAGGAGCATCGTATCTGAGGATGGAGCAGGAGAAGAGATTCCAAGGAACCGCAGCAAGAGCGGCTAGAACGTGGGAGTCCAAGAAACTGCTGAAATTCAACTTCCTTTGTTTAAAAGGGAGACCAAAAAGAATAATGATGTCAAATCAATATCAGTACATCAAATATGTACTGAAAATAAATACTGGAGTCCTCTAARTCAACTGCTGGTAGCGCAAAGAGTAATCGGATTAAGTTACTGAAAAAAAAAATTACTTTTTTTTTGTTTTTCCTCCTAATGGCTACCAGTGAGGTTATTTAAGTGATAAACTGGTTGGGGAGTTGTGGAGCCTTAACTGCTTAAATTTTCAAGAGCAATGATACATACAGAAACAACATATGTATGGCATTTAGCAGYAAGTGGATTAGATAAATACTTGGAATCCATTCCAAACATATTTTATTGTATGTCATCACTATATTTAAAAAGATACATACATGTTTTAATTTTAAACAAGGAATTACTCTGATATACACAGTTAGATGCTAGACCTCCTGAAGTAATTAAGGCTCAGTCCTGAACYGCCTGCAAACCAACTGCTGAGAGCGCATTCCAAGACACGACGCAAAACTCACTGAAAAATATCTTCAGCTACACAATCCAACCAGCATTATGAAAAGTTCTAGAATACCAAGTTATCTGAGCTTCATAAGATGATAAATGCAAGAAGGTGGTATGGTAACAAACATTAACCCAGATAAAGATTACATAGCAACAACAAAAAAACTCAGGAAGTTCAAGAAAGGTTTGTCAGCATTTTATTTTAGCACAGGCTAGATTTACAGCTTGGATCAATAYGGATGCGATATCAATATTCAGCAGTGCTGTATACTGCATAGAAGTGACTGAGGAAGCCCAACTGAGAGAAACATCATGTTGAAGACGGAGGAGTCAAACCTCAGTCAAAACCTTCAACTACTGCTCAGATAAATGAAAATGTGTTAGCAGAGAATAATTAAGTTGAAAGGAAGCCTATAACACGACGGTATTACCTCAGCATATACATCCAATGGTACCTGCCTGAACCACTGTACTTAGGATAAATGTACCTACCAGAAGAATAAGGTAGTGAATGATCTCCGGTAATAATAAGAAAACGCTCTGGAAAGATCGAGAGATCCAACTTTCAGACCAAGAAAATCTAATCTAATAAAAGCCTCTGCACCAAAAGATGAGAAAGCTTCAGGAAAACTGATTCCTGAAGGTCACATAAACAAGTAAGGAACAAGAGCAGGGGAGAACCTGACGTGTCACATTATTCAGCAGGGCACTGCCTCTTGACTGACCAGAAATGAACTGAGGAATTTAGGGGCAGCTCTCTTGATATCAAGCAGGGGAAAGCTCACCAGAAGAAAAAAAATAAAAAAGAAAAAAATAAAGTGAGTCATGGTGTCAATATTTTTAATTATGTCATATGAGAAATCAACCAATAAAAGTCTATACCATGAAGTGACATACAGAATAAGCAAGGACACCCACACATGGGTGCCATGTGCCAAAAGCTACATACGGATCAAAACAGCAGTAAAATGAAGCAGATCAGGCTTTCTTTAGAACCTCTCTCTTAATCTATTAGATATTTATTCAAATTAATGTAATAACTTGTTTTCTACTCAAGCACTTTTAAAACTCCAGCTGTCCTGAAAAATCCCGTCAATGACTGCAGCCCACCAAGACCCTCAGTTGAGCGAAGCGTAGCTGGTACTGCACTGCCTGCAGCCAACGGCTGCATTTGAAACTGCAAAAATTCAACAGATCAGCTCAACTCAAAAGCTGATAAAGAGAGTTCACCCATTTTAGGTACATTAAGGTATAAGGAAGCAAGATAAACAYATCTTTTACTGATAAACAAAAGTTGACTATAGTACTTTATTTGGTATGTTCTAGAAGTTTGTGAATTGAATCCAAAGTTCTGCCTAAGTCCTAAAGAAGCAGTCTGAGAAAAAACTTCACTGATGAAATACTGGAAAGGTAGTGTAGTATATCTGGAAAATGTTCTGGCAAATGAGATCAGCTTTGAAAAAGACGTCAGTGCAGACCAAATTGAGAGTGCAATTTAGCTATTTTCCAGATTTTTTGAATTGCTGCTTCTCTGTACAGCAACTTTCTAGATCTCTTAACTATAGCAGGAATTTGCAGGGGTCTGAAACGCACCTTTTGCAAACTCCCAAATGAGAATTTGAAAAATTGAGTGCATCCCCCAGGATTTAACACCGTAGTCACCTGTGCTAAGAGTATCTTGACTTTGCCTGCTTCTATTTCACGTGAAACTAAAGTATGTCTCTGTTTTTACAGAAATACATAACCCAAGTCAGCTAAAACTAATACCAAACACATCCCAAGTCTAATACTAAACACATCCCAAGACTTGAAAGAAAAATCAAGTTGGATAAGATTTCAAGAACTGGTCAGTCTGAAATGCCATTCTCTCTGTGAATAACCCTCAACCACCAAGCCCTCTTTTTCTTCCAAAGAATGAGATGAAAAGAAAAAAAAAAAAAMCMAAAAAAWGAATTTAAAATATTCCATTAGTCTCACAAGTCAATTTGTATTAGATGCCTGCTGATTTGTAAGGTGCAACTCTGGACTGCTATGAGAGAAAGCCCCATGGCCAGAGAATCTCTGTCTTGTTAACAAATATCCTCCTCCTCACTCTGGTGAGGTTCATGGGCTGCAGCAGAGAGTTAATGGTATGTTACGCCACTGGAATACTTGGAACACAGTTTTCTTGGGCATTAACAGACCTTTAATAGTTCCTATGTGCACTTTGCACAGGTGCAGAGCCAGTTAACAACTTCAATCATGATATGTTTTATAGACATAGCTGCAAAGAGCAACTAGCACATGATAACTTAATGCTGACAGAAGAAAAAAATGCAAGTCAGAAACCAAACACAGATGACATTTGAAGCGATATGGCACTCCAAGCATTCATCTAGGACAGAGAAGACTTGACTTTCTAAAACTGTGTTAAACTGCAGCCATTACATACAAAATGGCAATTTACCAATTTAGAGATAAAACAAAGCTTACCTGACTAAWATAAACCAATACAATAACAGGCTGATGACAGGGGCAGAAACTGAATCCACAGGTTTTATCTTCTTAAAGCAGACTTCCAAGTACTGCGCCCAAATGATTCAGAAAGGCTGGTGACAAGCACTTGGCTGTAAGGAAGGACAAAGATGACAAAAGGTATCAGGGAGGCCTATTGTACCGCAGTCACCTGCAAGTTGCATATATGCAAACAGGAAGCATCAAAACAGTCCCAAAACAGAATATGCAAATCCTGCAAGGCCCCCAAGCACGCTGCACCCAGGACGGGGTGTTCTTCACATGGATGCATGAGAAGCTTCCATTTTTCAGCTCCAAATGTCACTGCCCAAGGAGAACAGAGCAGTTCTGGCTTCTGCACCGAGGCTCTCACAATCCCACTGCCTCCRCGTTCGGAAGCACATGTGGTAGGACAGGCAGGCATAACTGCACGAAGGCCACACAGATTCTGGGGAACTGAAGCCCTTGAGACAGTTGATCACTGAGCAGACATAAATGGTACATATCAGCTTTTGCTTATAAATTTCAGATTATTCCAATACCCAGTCTTCCATATCAACTCATAAAACTACAAACTCACGCAGCAATCTGAAACCACAAGCATGGTTTGCTCTTCCCTCCAGCCAGAAAGAGAAATTCCTTCTCTACCCAAAACTGATTTAAATCCCACAGGACATTTGCAGGCTGTATGGCACTTTAGTGAAAGTTCACCACCAGCCTAGGTTTTCCTTTTATCTTGCCACTGAAGAAAGTAATTCCAGTGCATTGGGACTTTTCTGGAAACTCATCTGAGGAACTTCATAACCAAAGATTCATTAGAAAGCCAAGACCTTCTAGCTTTCCAGCACAGKCTCAAGRTTTCACACCTAAAGAAAACTACCCYGGAATAGAAAAATGACTCGGAGCTAAAAGCAGACTCAAAGGCAGCTGCATATTACAGCAGGGTTCATCAGGGTTATGCCTCATCAGACAGAGACCTGTCCCATTATATTTATGTAATTAATTTAAACTCAGATTGTGACCTACTCAGATTTTTAATGTACATAYACAGCTTTCCCTAGTGCATCTTCCCGCAACAGAGCAGCAAAGCTGGGCAGTTTCTTCAGAGCACTAATTCAAGGGGCAAAGATTAAAWATCTGGTGTTGATGTGCAAGGCTTTGACCTCCTTCATCAAGCACAGGCATTATAGGGAATACAAAGCACAACATATGTTTGTGGCTATCCAGACACCCCGTCCATATTATTCAATATATTTGAAACAATAACAGGCTGCCCTGTGATAACCTACTCACGCTCCATCTGCCAGGTAACACACATCCATGCACTAACTTGTGCCCTTCTCTCTCCTAGGAAGGGAAACGTAGTCAGGATCCCTTCCCCACCAAGAGGCAAATTTACTTTCAAGGAGTAAATATCCTAGCTGTGCAGGGAGCTCTTATCTGTGCCCTGCTCCCAAATGAAATTTGATCCCAGGAAATGTGGGAAAAGCCACCAAGCTGCATCCGTGTTCCCTGCCCTGCTCCCAGGTGACGTGTCTGTGCCAGGGTCACACTCCACTCCTGCTCCTTTCATGTCCCTCCACCTAGTTACAAAGCGGTCCTGTCCCTGCCCACCTTTTAGAACAAATTCACGAAATCCTTTTTAACCACTGAACATTCTCCTCATCTTAGCAGAGACTTTTTGAGCACACCCAGGTCACTCTGTTAAGATTACGTGGTAAAAAACTACAGCCTTTTTCTGACAACAGGGTTGAGGTGCGTATTCTGGGAGTGCAGACAAGGGCCTTTGGCACAAGGACAGAGACCAAACACCCGGGAGAGGGAAAGAAGCCAAACTGGAAACACAAGTGAAATCATTTGTGCCTTCAGATACCCTTAAAGATGAATCACCAGGCAAACTTTTTTCACTTCAGTTGGCCTGACCTATGCAACAGTCCCACAGAAATGGACTCCAGAGAAGTACATGGACAAGAGCAACATCTCCTCAGGGATAACTGCAGTCAGAAAACCACAGTTTGGGCCCTTGCTTAGCAGGAGGGCTGCGCAGCCCCTGCCCAAACCCCGACATGAGCTGATCTAAAGGCAGGCACAGAGTTCCCGTGCACGGGGAAGCAGCAGGAAGCAACGCTGTCCCTGTGCAGTCACACACAGGACAGTATCCACAACTACTATTAGAAGCATCTGCTTCTAATGCCCTATAAAAGTGGCTTTACTGAGAGTGGAACTCCCTTCCTGAATGATTTTCCTTGTCCGAAGCCTCCTTTAGCCACTTGGATACAGCATCCCGGAGCGGTGACAAGAACACACTTGTGTGCAGGCCCATAAGAGCATCCCGAAACCTGCACCAGCATCTGGCCCCAGATGTTTCCATCTTCACAGACCACACTTCCAAAACTCAGTCATAAACTCCAGTCTTCTCGCTGAATGTGTTACAAGAATGTACTGGGATCACTTGAGAGAGAGAAAAAAAGAAGAAGAGGTTTATTTGTATCTCGCACTGTAAGGAATGCTGCTGAATGCTGAGTTTATCTGAACACATCACATCTGTTTGCTGTTTAGAGGGCTTTTATTGACACGGAACAGAACACCAGCAAAGCAGCCATGCAGCAACAAAAACAAGCTTTCTGTAAAACAAAGCGAGCCAGCCTACATCCACCCATCCACATGAAGAACAAACTGCTAAAGGAAGTAAGAACGGCTTATTTCTTGGAGAAGCCTTAGAAGTGAATGTTTTAGTGGACTTCTTAACAGYTGTGTTATTTTTCAGAAATTATAATAAATTATGTATTTTTTGAATAAAAAGAAACAAGTCACATAGAGAATCATTCATGTTTTGCTGCAAGGCAGCAGATCTCAGAGCAAGGACTTAGTAACTTCTACACATGAGGAAGAAAGATGCAGTACTGGGAGCTCCCCCTCGCCAGGCAATGGGGCTGGTAGAGGCAGCAATAGTAAAAAAAAAACACAATAAACAAATAAACGTGTGTTAGGGGGAGATAATTTGCTCACTGTAACTCATGTGTTACTGCGGCAGCACATTGCTGGCTGCAGGCCAGTGGCCACCTGACCCAAGCCTAGCAAAGCCGCCCTGGGAATACCTGCACAGCCCAGTGACGCACGCGACAGCCAAGCACRGATTAGTCAGGAGGAAGCGGAGGCACCACTGGACAATATTTACGAGAAAGAAACAAAAGGCCTCACAAACGAGCCAGATAACTTACACCGAACTTCCCCCTGGAACTTTGGTTTGGGCTGCTCAGGCTTAACTCCCTAGTGAGGAGGAGGAATYGCAGAGCCCAAAGGGAACACAGAGTCCAAGGACCCTAAACAACTAGGTCTGTGTTGGTCTGAATTAGCGGGTTGGTCCAAATGACCTCCACAGATGTAAATTAACCTTCAGTAAGCTCTAAAACTTAGTTAGATTGCTGAACTAGGAAAAAAAATATATCTAAGCTATGACCAAAACTGATGCAAGAGCACGATCCAGTCTTCTGGATCCAAAGAGAMCAAACTCCAGAAAACTGCCTTAACTGCAGGGCTGCCGGCGTGACTGCAGGCAGGTCAGCRAGGCTCTAACTCATCCCGGAGCACTCGGCCTCGACGCAGCTGCAGCAGCTCTGAAACACTCCTCCTGCCCCACGTACCACTGGAAGCCTCCAGAAACGCACCTCCTGGATCACTGTTTTGATATAAAAAGGAAGCATTTTGATATGAAAAGGAAGCTCTGCTAGTGGACCCGACTTCTTTCCATATTTCACAAGGCAAAATGCAAGTAACATGGGACTTTCAGGAAAGTTTGATTTTCTTACTTCACTMTTTTTCTGCAAGATGTTCTGGAAACTCAATCTGTCGTGGCTAKAAACTCTGAAGTTTTAGCTCTAGCTCATAATCAAATACTTGTGCCCACATTAACCTGCAAGTACTATTGACTTTGACTATTTATTCATCTTTATATTCATCCCACTTACTCCTACGAGTACCTTCTTGACTGAGTAACTTCTTGACTAGAGCAGGCGGCTGTCGACTCTTGTTTGGTAAATATTTGCCAGTTTTACAGTGCCCCTCCTGCCTCCTCACGCTCCCTGCTTTCACCCGCCCGTGTCCCAGAGCACTGGAACAGGCTGCCCAGGGCGGTCGTGGAGTCTCCTGCTCTGGAGGTCTTCAAAACCCGCCTGGATGCCACCCTGTGCCACATGCTCTAGGTGTGCCTGCTTGAGCAGGAAGGTTGGACTAGATGATCTGTAGAGGTCCCTTCCAACCTTAAATATTCTGTGAATCTGTGAGCAGTGCTGCCCGTCAGGACCACCCGTCCTCTCTCTTCCCACGCTATTACTGCTATTATTGAGCAAGAATCCAGCCGGTACCGTGTTCCGGCACAGGGCTCGCTGCCACGCAGCCCATCACCTCTCTGCCAGCTCCTCTGCTGAAGAGCTCAAGATAGATATGACAAGAAAGGTAAGCATGGCTACTACCACCTAAATATCCTCATAGTCAAAGAAAAAAGGGTGGGGGGGAAGAATTGTTGCTGGTTTCTGCTCTTTCGAACGATTTGTTCAGATCTGCCTCCCCATCTCAGCCCAAAATGTCTCCATTAAACCCTCAAGCACCATCCTGGACACACATCACCACACTGCAAACTATGAGGAAAATAAATGCAAAATAAACGCACACAAAAACGTCTAAGCCACAGAAATCAGTTCCCTTGTAATTCACAACTGCAGTTTTCCGACCAAAGCCAAATCCTGTACAAGTTTCCACTGTCATTATTCACATTTTTATCCTGGGCCTCAGGAAGCACCTCTTCGTTTTTCACCTTTCCCGACTTTGTCTCKCACAACAAAAAGCCCTTTCACTAACTGAATCATGTCCAGAGAGAACTTGGCAACTGCTAAGAGCAAACAAACAGCTTCTCAGGCTCATCTGTTACCTGACTAGTGCTGCAGAGCCTGGCAACACAGAGTACCTGCAAGATTTATTTCACAGGCTTCCTTCACAAGGATAGAGGTCTTTCTCTCCTTTTWTGAGAGCAGAAAAGGAAACATCTCTGCAACACTGGGGGTCACCTTGCTTACTTCATTTTCAGTAGGACTTCTGCAAGATTCATAAAAAAAAT